CGAAATACATACAATTATATACTTCTAATAATTACTCACAACAATTTGTCAACATCATTCCATTTGCAACATTCATTCATCATAATATCACAATTTTCATATTCATTCATCATACTCAATCATATCCATCAATATTTAGGAAAAGGATCATTATGAAACCATCTAACCACATATGAAAACCTTAGTCATAATCACTTATAGATCATCATCAAATTAAGCATTTACGTTAATAAATTAACTAGTCTAGTAACGTTATTATTGATACCACAAATTGATTCCTTAAGCATTGTTATCATCAAACACCTAAACTTATTAACAATTAACTCACATTATAACTTATTCACAATTGTTATCTCTCATGATTTATGTTTTTTAGGCATTAATATAGGTACCTCAAACCATTCATAAGATCAAATACTTAAAGGACAAAACTATTCATCATCACCATTCACAAACTACATTCCATAACTTAATCTTCAAAGACATGTGTGGTTTAGACACCTTATCTAGAGCTTTATATGTGCTATGAAGTTGATATTAATTTTATTAGAAATCTAAGACAATTATTTATAACTTCTATATTGACATTAAAAATTAATTGTCTCATCTACTGTTTTTAAAAATTAAATTTGTAGCTTTTCAGCCTAACCTTTGGTTACTAATTTGATCTTAACTTGAATTCTAGACCTTTTTTTTTGGGTCATTTTAGTGTCATTGGAAAGCTAATATCCAAACTTACAACTCTTATGAATAACATGAAACCTAATTCGGCCATCTCTAAGAGCTTTTGAAATGCTTATAAGTGTTAAATGTTATCTCTCATGCACAAAATATGAGCTCATCTTGTGACTAACATAACTCACTCATTTCTTAACATTTTTATGTAATTCTTGTATCTAAATTGTAGCCACAAATGTATACTTCTTGACCTAAAATCAAAACTCAATTTCATTAATCAAATACAAAGCAAACACATAAATACCAAGGTATATTCATACCATAATTTTCAAAATCAGACATAACTCACATCCCAACTCTCTTTTCCAAATCCAATCAATAAAAACATAAATTAAAGCCTAATATTAGTCTATTATACCATCAATTACACAAATTCAATATCAATTTCACATAATTACATACTCATAACATCTTCTCATACAATTATCTAAATATATTCCCTTAGGATTCCCGTAGGAACCCACAAGCAACTCAAATCATATAAACAAACATCAATACATGGGATTAACCATATAAAATCATAATTACAACAATTATAACGAAGACTAAAATTCAAGAACAGAAAACATTTGTAGAAATTCCCTTCATACCACACATATATCAAACCAACATCAACACAAAATGCATACAACAAACAAGAGGTTAGGCCAACTTTACTACCCAACAATTATCTCACACCCTAGAGCAATTATTCAGTACTCCTCTCTTACCTTGATGAATGTTTAATGGACGTGAATTTGTAAGGTGATCTTCCATAAAATCTTGTTCTCCTTCCCGTTCTTTAGAGCATACACACCAAAGTAAAAAAAAAAAAAGCATAAATCACAAATTGATGTAACCCTCTTTTAAAAACTTAACTCCTCATTAACTCAATAATTAAATCATTTTAACCCCAATTACAAACCCTTTCCTTACTTAATAAAATCAATAAATTATTTAATTATAAAACTTTATAATATATCTATATACATATACAATAATTTAAAAAATTAATAAAACCAACCCAAATAATTATAACATAATAAAATAATTAATAATTAATAAATATATGTATATATAAAATAGATATATTTCTCTCAACACAATTATAATTAACATAAAATATATAAACAATAAAAAGTTATAATAAAACATATATTTTTCTCTAAATACTTATTATAAACAAATATCATAAAAATACATAATTTTTTTTAATAAATATCCATTTAATAATTTAGAAATTTTGGAGGTGTTAGAGTCTTAGAGAGGTCCTAGAGATTTTTCAGTCATTCTCTATGAAAATCGAGGCAGAACCTATCCCATGTGATGTGACTACCACATTCCAAAGGTTGATCCTTTTGACAAAATACAAGACCCAAGTATGCACTTAACTGATTTTCGTGCCCACTACATTAGTGGGAAAATTGAACTTTGGTGCAAAATGTTCATGGATACGTTGAAATTTGAAAAGGGTGGCACTCGACTGGTTTTACTATTTTGCCTGATCGGTCTATCACCGATTTTCAGACCTTTCGTCATTTGTTCATGGCGGCCCAATTCACTGCCAACAAACGCAAGCCTCCCTACGCCCATGATTTGTTCCGCATGAAACAAATTGGTGAGGAAAAATTGATATTTCATTATATTAATTCAAATTGATAGATAATTATAAAATTATTTTATATATTGATTTAATGTATAACATAAATTATTAAATAGAAAAAATTTAAATAAATTTATTTTTAAAATAAATAAATTCTTTCTTTTATCTATCTATATATATATATATATATATATATATATTCTCCTCTCTCTTGTATTTTGGTCGGTCAATTAATAATATAAATATATTTTCTTTTATATGCATATATATAACTCTGATAATATGTTTCATAACAAGATATTTTCATCGCCAATGAATAATGCCATATAAAGATAAGAATTGTGTTTGGTAGAAATGAATCGTTCATATGTAAATTTAAAGTGAAGATATCTTTTCACCCCGAAAAAGTTAAAGCGAGGATACTTGTGTTACCCATTATATCAACATACTACCCCACTATTTGGAACTTCTCATGCATCAGTCTCATCATTCTCTCGCTTTTTCTCAAGACTAATAATACACCATCCATATCCTTCAATTCACTTTACTTACCTTATCAACGTATTTGATCATATTTCAATTACATTATTTAAATTAGCATTGACTTATGTATTTTAAAAAATATTTATAATAAAAAATACTTAATATTATAATTATTAGACTTAAAATATATTAAGAGTTATTAGAGATTATTTTAAATGTATTAAAATTAATTTCTCTCTTCTTATTACATTAAGAATAATTTAACATTAAAAAAAAAAAGAATTTAAAAAAGAGAAATTATGGAAGTTAAATTAATTTTTATTAATTAGCGTAACCTTTTTCTTTTTCTCTCAAAGAGTTCTTGTTTTTTATGCATGAAGTGAAAACTTGATTTTTTTTATGAAAAAATTATGAGAACTTAGAGATTGTTAGGAATGAGATAAAGATGTTTCAATACCATCACAGAGACCAATTTAAAAAAGAGAAGGGAGAAATTTTTTTGAATTGCATTATAGATTCTAATATATTTTATAAACTTTTTCATAAAAATTATGGAGTGTAAGAATAGGGAAAAATATGTTATATAAGACCCTTTGAGTGTAATTATCTTGAATGATGAATCCTATGAAATTACATGTGATCATAAAATTTACTGATAGAAGACCATTCTTGAAAGCTATAGAACCTTTGACAAGGTCTATGATTAGGAGACTAGAGGAAACTACTAGAGAAGATGTGCTTCTTAGACCTTTGCTTATCATGAGCATAGAGTATGTGTTTTTCTCATAGTTGCTTACTCTCCCATTGTATATACTTTGTATAGGTTGCTTTCCATTCCTCTGTATATAGTAGTTTAGTGTATAGGTTGTTTTTACCCTTGTATTTAGAAATGTATGTTTCTTTGTTTTTAAGTCATGCCTTTAGGATTTAAAGGCATGTTCCTTTTTGAAATATATTCCTTTTCACCTTGTATTCATGGTCACCATATTCCTTTCCGTAACTATTTTGCTCTCCATATTTTATTGACTATTATATCCTTTTATTTTAAAAATTTAGAAAAAATAATATTTTTTTAGCAAATTCAAGATCTTGAAACTAATGGACTCTAGAACAATATACTTTTATTACTTAATTTTTATTTTATTTTATCTTTAATAGAGATACGAAGTACCTCGACCTTATTAATGCATGAAAAAACTTGATTTTTTCATGAAGATATATATGAGAACTTAGAGAATTGTCAAGAATTAAATAAAGAAGTTTCAATTCCATCATAGATATCAATTAAAGGAAGTAAGAGAAGGGATAACAACTTATTAAAAATTTTGAATTGTATTATAGTTCCTGATATATATATGTTTTCTAAACTTTCTAATTAAAATTATGGATATAAAAATAATAAGAAATATATTATCTAAAATAGTATGATTCTCTTGAATGATAAATCTTATGAAATTATATCTAATCATAAAATTTACTTAGATATGATTTCAAAGCAAAGTTATATATGGATAATATATTTTTCCATTAAAGATCTTCCTTTTATTAACGTGAGTGAAATTCTTTTAATATGAATGTTTCCATATGTGTATGTATCCCCATATTTGTATGCAATTGAAATTATTTAATATGTATAAAGGCATCAATTGTTTTTAATGTGTTTGAACGCACATAAGATTTTTTTTTTTATTGAAATTATTTATTTTCATTCAATTAAATGATCAAGTCATTCACTGTGCGAAAGTTTTTTTTTTCTTCCTTTTATTATGCAAATTGTTTTAATATTATTTGAAATGAATAAATAAGTATAAATAAATTTACTTTTAAAATAAATAAATTTACTTTTAAAATAAATAAATTTACTTTTAGAATAAATAATATCTTTCTTTCTCTCTTTCTCTCTATATATTTCCCTGCTCTCTTGTATTTTGGTCGGTCAATCAATAATATAAATATATTTTCTTTTATATGCATAACTCTGATAATATGTTTCATAACAAATTATTTTCGTCACCAATTAATAATGCCATATGAAGATAAGATAAGAATTGTGGTTGGTAGAAATGAATCGTTCATATGAAATTTAAAGTGAAGAGTTATCTTTTCACCCCAAAAAAGTTAAAGCGACGATCACTTTTGTTTCCCATTATATAAACCTACTACCCCACTTATTTTGTAACTTTTCATGCATCAGTCTCATCATTCTCTCGCTTTTTCTCAAGACTAATAATACACCATCCATATCCTTGATCAGTTCACCTTACTTACCTTATCAACACATGTGATCATATTTCTTTCACTAGCATCTTCTCCTTTCATCACATCCAGTTTATTCCTTACGGTTTGGAAAATCACAACATGCTCATGCAATTCGAAGTACAGAGGTTTGTTGCTTTGTTTTTAGCTTATATCAATCTATATATTGACTCATTTTTCACTTAAGAAATTTCTCCTTACAATGATCGATATATATATATATATGCCAATTTCATGATTGAATCCAATTTCAACTGTTATGGACTTCCCAGATGAACAAACCGTCTAAAGTGTTAGCCTCTTCTTAGTAGTTGATAAAATAAAATAAATTATATAAGTAATTTTTCAAGTACCAAAAGTTATGTGCTTACTAGTTTCTTAAAATAACTTTTCAAGTACTTATCTTCTGCTATACTTGTATTGTTAGATCTGCTATACTTGTATTGTTAGATCTATATAGGATTATTAGAGTTTGAATACCTTTTATATTTTGCATACTGACCGAGTTTGCAAAAGTAACTTTCTCTTTATATATTTTAAACTGAATTTCAAGATAAAATAGAAGCAAAACTCAGTTCATAATCCGACTCAACTGAAATGTAAATAAAAGACTTTTTTATTTTTCCTTTTAAATGTATATTAGGCTTCTTAACTAATAAACATACGCTTATTTTTGTTTTAAAATAGACACTATATCTTATGTTTATATTTTGTGTGAGTACATATAATACTTCGTCCGATTCTGAATATGAGTAAAAATAATGATATTTGTTGGTCTCAAATATAATCTCAACTAAATTTATTTTATTTAATTTATCAATATCTAAAATATCTCTTCATTTTATTGAGATAATATTTTTAATGACTCTTTTATTTTTAATAGTACAATTAAGAATAAAAGAGGATTAGTACAATTAAAGAGGATTAGTATACAATTAAATAATATTATTTAACTTTTTTATTTATAGTGAGTTATTTTTTGTTACTTATATTTTAAAAATGAAGAGGTACTATATTGTTTTGTTAATGATATCGGTAACCCAGTATTAGATATTATTCTTTTTTACAATGAAATTAAACGAAATTGTATGAAATTATGAGAGAAACATAAATGTATGAAATAAAATGAATAATATAAAAGAAATAAATTAAAAGAAATATTATTATATAAAGAATTATAGAAAAATATGTTTAAATAATGTAACTCTTATATACCTATCACTTAACGATTCAGTTTAATTACTAATTACCGGTGATAACATATTGAGTAATATTATTTTCAACAACACATTCTTAATGTATTTTTTATAATAGGAGAGATAAGAAAAGAAAGAAAGAAAAAGTGAAATAAGTGGGGTCATGAAAATAAATAAAGAAAAATAGAATTATAACAAAATATGGAAAGGGAAAAAATTATTTCTTTGAGAGTAAAAAAAGATTTTTAAGATCGGTTATTTTTTATTTTTAAGATCAGTTAATAATTGATCTTAAATGTCTAGTTTTTAAGATTGATTATGAAATAACCGATCTTAAAAGTATCAGTTTTAAAGACGAGCAACGGTGGCTAACAGAGGGCTATGTTCGGGTGAAACATCGTTGAAGATAAATAACACACGTTTAGGCTTCATTTGTGAAGCGAGGAAAATCGAGTGAGGGAAGCATGCGCGAGGGAGAACAACCGAGGGAAATGACAGCTGCGTGAAGGGTTGCGTTTGCAGAGCAAGAGATACCGAGCGAGGGAGGTGTACACAAGGGAGAATGAACGAGGGGTAGTGATGGAGGTGTGAGGGACTGCGTTTGCGGAAGCAAGGGAGACCAAGTGAGAGAGAGTGACTGAACACGTGCGCAAAGGAGAATGACCGACGTGAAGCGAGGGAGGCACACACGAGGGAGAACGAGCAAGGGGGAACGTTTCATACATGGTTATGATATTTTTAATTTAACTGATCTTAAAAATACTTTTAAGATTAATTCTTCTATGACCGATCGTAAAAGTTATGTCTGATACAAGTTTTAAGATCAAGTATTAAAAGAACCAATCTTGTATACCACTGTTAAAATCAATTTTTTGTAATTGATCTTAAAAATTGTGTCAAACATGCCTTTTAGGATCAGTCTTAGAATAATTGATCTGAAAAGTATTTATAAGATCGGTTACAATTTAACCAATTTTAAAAGTTTTCATATTATTTACAAAATTGTCACTGCTTCATTTTTAAGATAAGTTATCTTTTAACTAATCTTAAAATCCTGATTTTAAAACTAATTTTTGCACTAGTGTGTGTTTAGAAATGAGTTATATGTTGAACTTGAACTTCTGTTTAACACAATGTGACAAAATAATATAGTTATTTTTAAGTTTTGTATTGAATTTAGTGAAAACCTAATGAGTAGTGTTGAGTACTTTTCAAATGATAAATTAAAAACACACTCCAATTATTTGGAATTATCGAGTGGCCTTGTAGTGGCATTGTGTTGTAATATATTCATAACAACGTGTAAATATTTACTTTTATGGTGACTTATATTTGTTGAAAATTAAATATTTTAGTTAATTCAATCATTTGAAATTATAATTATTGTTGGAGGTCACCCATTATCATCTAGGGATATAACCATACTAGTGTATATAACTGGAGAGGAATCCCACATTAGTATATGTTTTCTTGAAATTTTCATTCTTGATGGATGAAGATTTTATTAAGAGGTTTTACATTGTTTGGTTCTCTTCTTAGTAGTTCTACATTATTCCATTGTTCTTTTCTTATTAGTTGTTTCTCATGCACACCCCAAGCATTTAATGATTTACCTTTTCATGATTTCATTCTTATTCAACCTTTTTGGCTTGATTATTAGCTTTAGTGATATAATATGATTAAGCATCTGATTTGCTTTTGCTTTGTCTTTAGTGGTTAAACATTATGTTTGGCTTGTGCTCTTGATGGTTAAGCTAGATTTGTTGCTTCTGCCTTATAGTGGTTAAGCATTTATCATTGTTTTACTTCTGCCTTTTAGGTGGTTAAACATGTTTTCTTAATCTGTTAAGTAGTAAAGCCTTTTGTTATAGTTTTTGCTTAATGGTTTAGCTTTTTCTTATGATTTTGATGATTTTAGTTTCTACCTTTTATAGTAGTTTAGCTAGCTTTGTTGCTTCTACCTTGTAGTAGTTAAGCATTTATCATTGTTTTACTTATGCCTTTTAGGTGGTTAAACATGTTTGCTTCTATTAAGTAGTTAAGTCTTGTATTATAGTTTTTGCTTAATTGTTTAGCTTTTTCTTATGATTTTGGTGATTGTAGTTTTTACCTCGTATGGTAGTTAAATTGTTCATGTATTTATACTTGTTGTATTTATGATTTTTTTTCATTGTATTTGTTTCAATTAGATATGCACTTGTATTGTTCATCAAAATTTGTATGTATTGTAAAAACCTTTCAACTTGTGGGGGATTATCAAAGATGTAGTTGTAATTAGTAATTGACTTTTATATATATATATATATATATATATATATATATATATATATGTATATTTCACAATCATATTGTAAACACACTATTTATTGTCAATAAATTGTATTTTTCAGCTAAAAAAAAGTCTTAGAAATCACCCACTATCGAGCTTTTATTTGATGATCCATAGATGTGAAGTCTTGCAAACATCACACTCGAGATGTCTAGTTCTTAGCTTGAGGGTTGCGTGTTGGAGATCTCACATCACCTAAGGATATAACCATACTAGTCTATATAAGTAGGGAACAATCTTTAGATTATAAGTCAATTTTATAAGGTTGAATTAGGCTCCAATCTACTTTTTAATGATTGTTAATTGTTAATTTTTCAACTAATCCTAATTGAATTGACAAAATTTAATTTTTTCATTCAAAATGTTGACAATTTCTTATTAAGCCATGGAATAAAAACTAAAAAAGAAACAAAATTTAAGAAACATATTGTCATTGAGAAACATGAAAAAAAAATTGAAAGTGAGAAGTATTTAGAAAATAAAAAAATTGAATGTATGTAAATTTATAATAGTATAGGTGTAACAACTTCAAAAAGCTAAATATTCATGCAACATATATATGTATATGATATAGAAAACATAAAAAGTTTATGCTTATAATTGAAAAACATAAGGCCCTTCATGGGATTACAACAAAATCCATGTACATAGACACACACAAGTATCAATACTAGAAAGCAATGAAATTTTAAGTTGTTGATCAAGCAAACTAAACAGAGCTGTGTGAAAACAACGCCATTTACTACATGGCCAACAATTGTGCTCATTTTCCTGCTTAATCCTAACTCACTTTTATATCAAGTATGATCATCAAGTCTAACACATGAAAATGTAAGGGTAAGTTTGTGTAAAAAGATTCAACATATAATATAGAAAACAAAATGCTAACTATATGAAAACATCATGAATAACAACAACCATAACTCAACTTCATACAACAAAATTAACCAACTCAGAAGATAAATTCACAACATATATATATAACTTAGCAACTTTACATCTCAACATTTCACAAAATCACCCAACTCAAAAGATAAATTCACAACATATACAACAACTTAACAACTTTATGCATTGTCACACATTTCAACTAAAAGATCTCTTACAACACAAGTAGAGAATTTTAGTGGCTTGATCCTACCAAATCACTTTGTCTAACCATTCAAATCCAGGTTAAGTGAATACAATGTCTGACATACCAATGCCAATTCAACAACAACTTATTTGATTTATTAGATGTCTCTATTTAAATTAGGAAAGTTTAGTACTACTATAGAAATAGAACAATATCAGGATATGAGTCTATCACGACATTAGTATGCATAAACCAAGCCTATATAGAATTAATCTGTCAACTGCTCTCCAAATACTATGCATCTTTCCAACACAGGGATCTTCCTTAACCTTGTGCCTTACTCTAAAGGACACTTCATAAGCAATATGAATCAACCAAGCTTCCATACTATATCAACTAAGAACCTAAAGGAGACAACTGTAATTTAAAAGCAACGTTCCACTTTAATTAAGAGGTAACGACTTTCTCTCTGAAGGGTTTTCAACTTCAGGCTTATAGTGCACTACAACTTATATTATCATAATGAGATATTTCAACTTATTAAACAACTTATTCTCCCTAGCTTGGTCTTAATTTTAACTTCACAACTCAATATGCATCACACATTACTCAACATAACTTAACTCAACTTAATTGTTCAACTCGTTCATCATAAAACATAAATATCATTAATTTCATCTCATATAAACGAAACATTCTTCAATTCAATATTATACAACATGATTTCTTCATCATAAGCAACATATAGTACAACTAGGCTCAACTATTAATCAACTTACAACATTACATGATAGGTAAAAGCATAAAATATAAACAAGTTATAAAACATGTTTCTCATTAGGCACGAGTAACCTCATTGGACAAATTAAGCTCTCTAGAGCATGCCATTGGGTGTGCTACTCTCGCTCAACAAAGAAATGATCCAACAATTTTCCTCATTGAGCGGGCTTTGGATTGTTAGGTCAGTAAATTCCACTAGAGCTTATTGTTGGGAGGCCTTAGCTTGTTGAGTGAGTATAACTCCCTTTGGGTTCTCTTGTTAGGCTTACTATGTCCCGTTGTGTGAGGCTACCAGCCATAAACCATTTTCTCGGTGGGCGATGTTTCTATCATTGAGCAAGATTATAATCTTGGGTAGTTACTCTTCAACCATGAATGCATGTTGGGAGCTATAATATCTCATTAGGTGATAACAAATTTTTCAATAAAGAAACTTATCTTTTCACTTCAAAATCAACTAACATACTTCATTATCTCAACATGCAATTCAAGAATCAGCTTTGACTCATTTCATACAACTTAGAAATCGACAAAAATATTACATGCAACCATATTATGATACAAGATCATCAATTCTTCTTCAAGTATATGAAACACTCAAAAACCCTAAGACAAAAAATTAACAACTTCTTATATTCAATACAAATTTCATCCAATGGGCTAATCAACTCAACAATTTGCAACAATAACTCAAAATATGAAGAAATTACAAACTTTCCTCACCTTAATTACTTCAAAAATCAAGGCAAGAGGGAAGAAAAACAAAGAATTGTGAACTACGAGACTTGTCATACGATAACTTCTTCCTACGATTCTGAGTTCCCCAACTTGAATCTCTACTCTTATTATTAAAACTCTACTCCAGGGAAAGATCTAGATGCTCCTAGTGATGTCAGATGAAGAAAGGGTATTACATGGCTTCAAAACTTATCTTTCTTCTAGAATTTAGAGAAATAACCTTATCAAATATAAGTCCTCTAAAAACCTAATATACCTTCATCCATTCTTGGTCAACATGACCTGAATAGAAAATAACTTTAAACTGCTAATTAAACTCATAAGAATTATTTAATCTTTATAATTTTAAAAATAACATAAAACAATATAGCAACATATATAACATTAAACAACATATATATATATATATATATATATATATATAACACATAACACAAAGTTACAATAAGAATCACTTACTAATAAAAAATTGATTAGTATAAGAAATTTTCTATGCAGAGATGAACGACACTGTCTAAATCAATCTCTAATAGTCACTAACAAATTTATTTACTAATCTAGAGATCGGTTAACTTGTCTCAAATGATTGCAAATCTAATCTAGAAATCGGTTAATTTTTGGATAAATTAAAACTAAAGACTGTTTTTTTTTTTTTTGATAAACCATTTTAGAGGTTTAATATTTGATCTCTAATCTCTATGTAATTCAATACTGAATTTTTGTCTAAGTATTTAGAAATTGATTTTCTTGGTCTCTACTTATATCTCAACAATAAATAGTAATTTGAGACCTTTTTCAGCCATTAATAAATCTTTATTTTTTTAATCATGACATAGATGTAAAGTATTCACCATCGAAAGTAGTGTCTAATCTTCGTCAAAAATCGTGTTCACACATAATGTGAGTATTCTCCTTCCAACAAAGTCTATTACTAACTCATCTTAAATACTAAAATTTTGATCCCAAACTAAGTGTAATTTGAAACTATTTTTTGGGGCTTTGCTCGAAATGTAATTGAAGACTGATTTCCTATTGCTAGTCTCCCACTTATTTTTAAGTATCACAATTTGTAATTATAAAAATAAAAAAGACAGAAAAATTGGTAACATATAAAGTTTCAAAATTTTGAAAAAAAAGTAATTAACACATAATTTATAAAAAAAAACTTATTTAATAATTATCGATTTAAGAACCAGTGTAAGAAATTAATCAAATATGATAAAAAAAAATTAAGTTTCTTGATAAAAAAAAATTAAGTTTCATGTATAGAAAAATTAGAGGTTTAATTTTTGGAAAAATTAAAACTAAAAGACTGGTTTTTTGTATAGACAACATAGCACGTGCATACGTGCGTGCGTGTAAATTCATTTAACTATAATATATTTTTACATTTTTTTATTTTAAATTTCACGTGGTTTCAAAGTTGCAATATAAAAAGGATCAAATTAATTTCTTTTAAGTAAATCTATACTAATATATAAAAGTGATACCTTTTTTGGTAACCACCTTGATCTTCACTTTTTTGGACCATTATACTCTTTTAATTTAAAAATTAAAAAAAATATTTTTTAATCAAATTTAAAAACTTGAAACAAATGAATCTATACTAATATATAAAGTAAATACCATTTTTAATAATTATTTTTAATTTTATTTTTACATGAACTATTTTATTTTTTGTTTATTTTTTAATAACTACTTTTTTATGAATAATTTTTTATTTTTTATACTTATTTTTTTCTTTTAATACAATGCAAGCACGAAATGCCTTTTTCGTGATAGTATATATAAACATAATATCTTTTTTATAATTTTGTTTTTAAAATTTCACGTGCTTTTATAATGTTTAACACAACACTGTTTGGTTTGATTTTAGTAAATAAACTAAATGGTAATTTTGGAAATATAAGATTTATTTGAAATATAATAAAATAACCTTTTCAGAATCAGAACACACGAGCCTTACTATAAAAGTCCCAATTGATTCTTTTTTTTTTTAGTTAACACTTGAATAATATATTATATATAGCATTATTTCTTAAGTTAATTATATTTTAAATTTCTTATCTAATACTAACATAGTTTAACCGTAATAAATAATAACTTTATTTAATAAAAATATTTTTTAGTAAATTAATTATATTATTTATTATTTAATATATTTTTATAAAATAATATAAAATAAGTTGTAACAAAAAAATACAATAAAAAAATATAATAACAATATATTATTTAATATTAAATTTTTGTATATTGCATATTGTATATCTATTGGATTAAAATATATTGAATAATAAATTTTATATTTATTAGATTAAAAATATAATAAAAACATAAATAAATAATAAAATACTAGTATATATGCTATTTAATATATTTTTCATACAATAAATAATATAAATTTTATGATATTAAAATAGATAACATAACGTTATTGATGCATTAAAAAGGAGAAAATCTAGTTAAAAAAGATATAAAAGATGAAACAGTGATCGTATGTTTATATTTATTGTATAAAAATTATATTAAATAATAAATTATATAATTAAATTACTAATTTTTTATTATTTTATTAAATAAATTTATTATTTATTAATCTTAAACATGATTAATATTAAATAAAGAATTAAAAAAAAAGAGTTAACTCGATCAGTAATATTATATATAATATAATGTTCAAGTTATAAAAAAAAAATATAAATTGCTTAGTGATTTAAATGAACAATTTTATAGTAAAAGTCATGGGTTCTATTCCTCATAAAGTTACATTCCATTCCTCATAAACTTAAATTGCTTAGTGATTTAAATGAAAAATTTTATTATTTTAGTGTAATTTAGATCAGTAAATATACCTGTGAAGTTGTGATTTTTGATGGATCAAATATCATTTGCTTTTCTAAATTAGTTCTTGACTTATTTGTTTTCATTATGCATTTTGTTGGGGAAAAAGATGTAGTCATACCTAGTACCACGAATTCAAGTTGAAAGAATGGAGTTTGCGTCAACAATAGTGGAAAGAGTGACTAATTTTGTGTTGGACTTGAGTGTTCGACATGTGGCTTACATCATCCGTTACGGGCGAAACATTGATGACCTAAATGGTAGTGTTAAGGATCTTGGACTCCAAAAGGAGAGGGTAGATCACCAACGTGATGAAGCTGAGAAAAATCTGAAACAAATTGAAGGTACGGTTAAGGATTGGTTTCAAAAAGTGGATGAGTTTGAGACTAGAATGGAGGGGTTTGGAAACGATGAAGGCCACAGAAAGACAGGGTTGTCCTTGTCCAATGGTTTATTCCTTTACTTGAGGAACAGGCATAGACTAAGCAGACAAGCAAAGAAAATGACAGAGGATGTTAGAAAGCTATTAGATGAGTCATCCAAATTTAATGAAGTTTCCTATCAGCAGAACGTAACATCTAATGATGCCACTATGTCTAATGTTGGCTATGTAGAATTTTGTTGTAGAAAATCTATAATAGAAGACATAATGGTACAACTTGAAGATTCCACTGTCAGAATGATTGGGCTGCATGGGCCAGGTGGTGTGGGTAAGAGCACTTTAATCAAAGCAATTGCTAACAAAGCTCGAGACAGGAAGTTGTTTAATGTTGTGGTTATAGTAGAAATAACAATCAAACCCAATCCACAAAAAATTCAGGAAGAAATTGCTTATGTGTTAGGATTGAGGTTAGAAGGGGAAGGTGAAACTGTGAGAGCTGATTGTCTAAGGAGGAGGTTAAGGAAAGAGAAGGAGAACACCCTTTTAATCTTGGATGACCTTTGGGACAGATTAGACTTGAACAAGTTAGGTATTCCACTTGATGATGATGATGATTTAAGCAAGATGAGTAAGTTAATAAAGATGACAAGTAATGATAAACAAGATCTTCCCAGCAAGATGTCAAGCAATGATAAACAGGATTTTCTAAGCAATGATAACCAAGATTTTCTAAGCAAGATGACAAGCAATGATAAACAAGATCTTAGTCGCAAAAAGGTGAAAAAAGAAAAATCTCTTGGTGATTATAAGGGGTGCAAAATTTTGTTAACTTCAAGGAAGAAAGAAGTGTTGTGTGATCATATAAAGGATGATGAGTCAATTTTCTGTGTACAGGCATTAGATGACAAAGATGCTCTAGCGTTGTTTCAGAAGGAGGCTGGAATACCTATTGAAATGTCCAACCCTAAACAAGAAATTGTCAAGACATACTGTGCAGGGATACCGATGGCAATAGTTACAGTGGGAAGGGCATTGAGAAACAAGAGTGAGTTAGTATGGGAAGCTACACTAGAAAAACTTAAAAAGCAAGAATTGGTGGGAGTGCATAAATCTATGGAGATTTCTGTAAAGATGAGTTATGACCATCTAGAAAATGAGGAGCTTAAGTCCATTTTCTTACTTTGTGCTCAAATGGGTCATAAACCCTTAATTATGGACTTAGTGAAGTATTGCTTTGGTTTGGGTATACTTGAAGGGGTCTACTCACTTAGGGATGCTCGGGAACGAATATGTACATCAATCCAAATGCTAAAAGACTCGAGTTTGATGTTCGATGGAAGTTCTAGTAATCATTTCAATATGCATGATATGGTTCGAGATGCTGCTTTATCTATAGCATACAAGGAGCAAAATGTATTTACCTTGAGAAATGGCAAACTTGACGATTGGCTTGAACTCGAGAGGTGCACTTCAATTTCTATATGCAATAGTGATATCATTGATGAGCTTCCTAGTGGTATAAATTGTTCCCAACTCAAATTTTTCCAAATTGATACTGACGATCCATCTTTAAAAATACCCAACTCATTTTTTGAAAGAAAGAAGAAACTCAGAGTGTTAATATTGACTGGTTTTCATCTATCAACTTTACCATCTTCAATTAAAGGCCTATCAAATCTCAGAATGCTTTGCTTGGAGCAATGCACTTTAGATGGCAACTTATCCATCATAGGAAAGTTGAAAAAATTAAGAATTCTAAGCTTTTCTGGATCTCAAATTGAAAATTTGCCAATCGATTTAGGGTGCTTAGATAAGCTACAATTACTGGATATCAGCAATTGTTCCATAGTGGAGATGATTCCTCGTAATTTAATATCAAGGTTAACTTGTTTGGAAGAGTTGTATATAAGAAAGAGTTTGATCAAAACGTTGGTGAAAGAGACAAACCAAAGTCAAATTTCATTTCTTTCTGAGCTAAAGCATTTGCATCAATTGAAAGTGGTGGACTTATGCATCCCATGTGCTACAGTTCTGCCCAAGGATTTGTTCTTTGACAAGTTAAATGATTACAAGATTGTGATCGGAGAGTTCAAGGTCCTTTTAGTTGGAGATTTTAGGATGCCCAACAAGTATGAAGAATTCAGATCTTTGGCATTGCAACTGAAGGATGGTACTGATAATATTCACTCCCAAAAAGGGATAAAATTGTTGTTCAGAAAAGTTGAAAATTTGTTGTTGGGAGAGCTAAATGGTGTTCAAAATGGTGTTGATAATGTTATTTATGAGTTAAATTTGGATGGGTTTCCAGATCTAAAACACTTATCTATCACAAATAACACTCGCATCAAATACATCAACTCAATGGATTTGTCTCATCCTCGGGAGGTTTTTCCCAATTTGAAATCTTTGTGCCTTTACAAACTAAAAAACATAGAGATGATATGTTGCAGTCCAGTCACAGGTGCCTCATTCACCAAATTAAGAACGATCAAGGTTGAGAAGTGTGACCAATTGAAAAATCTCTTCTCCTCTTCCATGGTGAAATTTCTTGTTAGTCTAGAAACAATTGATGTTTCTACATGTGACTGTTTAAAGGAGATTGTTGAAATACTAGTAATATCTGAAAAGGTTGAGTTTCTTAAGTTGCAGTCTTTGACGCTACAGTCTTTACCATTATTTGCTAGTTTTTATATAGAGGGGCTTTCTGTACCTCAAACCACAGAAGCACAAATAACGAACAATGATCACATTGAAATTACTATTGCAGAAGACACAAATCCTCCTCTATTTGGTGAACAGGTATGAATATGATATTACATATTTTTCCTTTAATTTTAATTAATTTGCGACCTTTTTTTATTGTTGTAAATTTATTAAAGGTCATGTGCACGCAGGTTGAAATTCCAAACTTAGAGAGCTTGAATTTATCCTCAATCCACATCCATAAGATATGGAGCAAGGAACCCTTATCAAGATTTTGTTTTCAGAACTTGATAAAACTAGTTGTTAATGATTGTGATAACTTGAGATATTTATGTTCATTATCTGTGGCTAACAATTTGAAGAATTTGAAAGGCCTCTTCATAAGCGAGTGTCCATTGATGGAGAAGATTTTTGAGATTGAAGGAAATACTATAGAAAAGGTGCGTATATGTGTAAATAAGTAAATTTTTGTAGTCGACTTATTCTTCTGAATATGGTTCTTAATCATTGCTTCCTTGTGCATTTCTATTAAGTTTCGTCACCAAATAATTGCTTGTTTGCATCAAATTGTAGGTATGCATTTTTCCTAAGTTGGAGGAAATTCACATCAGCGAAATGAAAATGTTAACAAACATATGGCAAATTGAAGTGAGTGTTGATTCTTTTTCTAGTCTCGTTTCTGTGCATATTGAAGACTGTGAAAAACTAGACAAGATTTTTCCGAGTCACATGGAAGGATGGTTTGAAAGTTTGGACAACTTGAAGGTTGTTGATTGCAAGTCAGTGGAAGTGATTTTTGAAATCAATGATTCTTATCAAGTAGATGAATCTGGTGGAATAGACACAAATTTGCAACTTATTCTTATAAACGACCTCCCAAACTTGAAGCATGTATGGAGTAGAGATCCAAGAGGAATTCTTAATTTCAAAAAATTGCGAAGTATAGAGGTTTCTTATTGTAATAAATTGAGGAATGTCCTTCCAGCTTCAGTGGCCAAAGATGTTCGAAAGCTTGAATCCATATCAGTACAGAGTTGTATGGGAATGATGGAAATTGTTGCCTACAAAGATGGATTAGAAGCAAACAATGAACCATTAGAGTTTCCTGAACTTCTCTACGTGGAATTATGTTGGCTATCAAACATTAGGCATTTCTGTAAGGGGAGATATACTATAGTGTGTCCAAAGTTGAAGAAGTTGGCAGTGAACAATTGTGGAAAGCTCAAAACATTCCCAACAGAAACCAGGGAAACCATAAGTGAAGAAGAAAATCCATTTTTTTCCGCCGAAGAGGTAACCACTACTATATTTAATACTTTAGTAACATTTTCTACTTATATTTATTAAAATGTTAATATACATTAAATTAATAGATTATTGTAACATTTTTTTAGAAAACATTACTACAGATATAATATTTTTTTATCTCAATATTATTTTTATAATTTTCTTTAAAAATTAAGTTTCACATCGACTAAAAAGAATAATATAAAAAAAAATATACTTATTTTATTTCAAATATATAAAAGAATGATATATAATATATATATAATAATAGAGTGACACTTAAGATAAATGAACTTTGACATATAATCTAAATTTGTAATTAATTTATGAGATATTCTCTTGTTAAAAAAAAAACTTAAAATATCTTAGATCTTAAAAAAATTGTGAATAAGAGTCATAAAGTATAAATGGTGATATATATAATCTAACTACCATTTTATAAAGTTTACAAAAATTTAACAACATTATTAAAATGTTACAAAATACCACTTTGACAACTTTTTTAAAAATATTTTCATTGATATCTAAAATGTTAAAAGTCTTTAGTATTATAGACTTTATCTTACATTTGATAAAATGTCACAAAAGTATATTAGCAACATTTATTCATAAATTTAGAAGCATTTTTCTAGAGTTGCTAAAAACACATTTGTTGTAGTGAACAAATATTCCATTACTACCATAGACATAAAGGAAAAACAAAATGTTGAGTCTTTCTTGTGTACATTTAAGAAAAGGAAATAACTTATTCGAATGCACTTTTATTTAATTTTTTTGAAGGTAATCCCGAACTTGGAATGTATTCAAATTGATTTTGACGAAGCACAAAAGTGGTTGTTGAGCAATATTGTGAAGTACCACATGCAACATTTAAAAGAGCTTAGCTTGAGATCAGTTAAAAGTGGTGAACTTCTATGCCGGTTTCTACACAGAATGCCAAATCTAGAGAAGTTACAATTGTTTAACTCTGAACATTATTTGCTTAAAGATTCCTCAGTGCCATGTTTGGGAATTGTATTACAGCTAAAGGAATTAGTTTTGTCAGATTCAAAGATAAAGGATCTGGGATTTGAGCGAGACCCGGTACTGCAAAGACTAGAGGTTTTGAGCTTAAAATGGTGCCAAAAACTCATTATTTTAGCTCCTCCCTCAGTATCATTGACTTGCATGACATATTTGGAAATAGAATATTGTAGAGGATTACAAAATTTAATGGCATATTCTACAGCCAAAAGCTTGGTTCAACTTAAGACCATGAAGGTGAGCGGCTGTAATGTAAAGGAAATTGTAACCAATGAGGGAAATGAAGACAAGATCGAAATTGTGTTTAGCAAATTGGTTACTATAGAACTTGCATGGTTACCATACCTCACAAGCTTTTGCGGTTTCAAGAAATGTGAATTCAAATTCCCGTCATTAGAAATATTAATTGTGAGAGGTTGTAACATGATGGAAACATTCACTATGGGCCACACAAAAGCACCAAAGTTACAAAATATATTTGCCTATGAAGGAGAGGTGGAAGCCAAATGGCAATGGGAAGGTGACTTGAATACTACCATACAAAAGGATTTCCAAGATAAGGTACTTGTTCATTTTCTTAATGCATTATTTTTTTTTTTTATACTTTTATGCACTTTTTTCCTAATTCAACAGATAGAAATAAGGAAGAAAAAAAAAACTTATCGTGATTGGAAACTACAGTTCCTTTGTTTAAGTCTTTTTATAGAAATTAATAGAATTTTTGAGAATTCGTTTATTAAAAATAAAAAGTATTTTTTTTTTTGTGAAAAAATTCTTAAAAGCACTTCTAAACTTGTATCTAAATATGGGTTTAGTACATGTTAAACTCTTTTAAAATATAACTATTAAAAAAAAAGTAATATAAAATAAATAATAAATTCAACCTAGAGATTTTCTATCGCATCCTATAGGAGTGTGATCTTAAATTATACTAAAAAAACGTTTGAGGTAAAGGTAAATATTGAATCATTAACATATTTTTTTCTTATTGATCCGAAATATATTAATAGCGTGTTTGAATAAAAAAATTTAAGAGAGTAATTTAATAATTTTAATAATTTTAAAAGTAATATGATTTTCTTTTAAAAATTATGGAAATTCAACTTATGAAAAAAAAAGAATTTAAATTTCTTTTGTATGTTCTCTTGTCTTCTCTTTCTTATTTCTCCTACCTCCATTTCCTCTCTTTTAGTTTTCACTAGTTTTTTCTTCTTCTAATCATTGAATATTATAAATTATTAAATATTATATAATATAAAAATTATTTTTAAATTATTAAATATTTAAACTAAAATTTTTCTCTTTTGTCTCACTTATATATTTTTATCACTCATTTTTCTTTATCCTCTCTTTTTCTTGTCTACTGTCTTCACTTTTGCCCCTCTCTCACTCCCCCCCTCTCCCCTTTTTTTTCATCCTTTTTTCACTTTTGTCTCTAGTTTTTCTCGTTTTTTAAGCTTTTTTTTTTTTCTCTTTAACTTTTATCTCTTCTCTTTGTCATCTCTCTCTTCCTTCTCTTCCCTTCCCCCTTCTCTTTCTCCTTTCTCACCACCATCTCCTCTCTTTTAATCTCTTTCAATATTAACATAAAAAATATCAATAATTTTTTAAATTATTGAATATTTAAAATTATTTTAAAAATTGTTAAATATTTAAAAATTAGCTCATATTTATTTATAAAGTTTAATCTTAAATTAAATTCAATTTGACCGATGATAAAAATTAAATTATTTTATATAAATAAAAATTTAAAATATAAAAAAATTTGAATTGATTTATACAAAAAAGTCAAGGATTATCATAGCATATGAACGGGCCAAAATTTTGTGTTGATGTTTTTTTTTTTGTTTGTGATTATCTAAATTAAATATTAATAATAATTAAGATACAAATGCAAAGAAATGTGATGGAATAATTTCGAAACAATTTCAATAAGATAAGACAAGACAAGGTCATTATTGAATTGCATGTATGTTTGTAATGATCAACACTAAAAGTGAGATCCAGCAATATTAAAACTTTTTAATAAAAGTAACAGTCAAAAAATTTTAGTGTCACGAAAGTTAAATAAAATTCTAAATCTCAATTCTTCCATGTTAGTGTTAATTTCATTATCAACCAATCAAATATTACCATTATCAGTTTTATATTCAAAATTTATCATAAATAATATTCTGTAATTAGAAAATAGTGTAAAACGTGTATAACACATTTTCTCAAATAACTAATGTCATATTTTTGTATGTTCTTTTGCATGTGCAGCTTTTGAAGTCTGCACAAAGTGGATCCTATCTTCATCTGAGAGATAGCTCGCTACAAAAGATATGGCTTGGCTCACGACCGATTCCAAACTTGTGCTTCAGTAACTTAGACTACTTGGTTGTGAACGGGTGTCAATTTTTGTCAGAAGCAATACTACCCTTCAATTTACTTCCTTTCTTCACTAAATTGCAAACATTGACAGTTCAAAATTGTAGTTATGTAAAAACCATATTTGATGTGAAATGTATAGCACAAGACAAAAAAATCACAACTACAAGACCAACCCCTTCACCCCTCATTTTCCCCCTCAAGAGAATGACTTTATCAGATTTGCCAAATCTGGAAAATGTTTGGAATGAAGATCCTCGTAGAATTCTAAGGATGGAACTTCTAGAAGACGTAAATGTTGAGAAATGTGAAAGCCTTACAAGTGTTTTTCCCGTTTCAGTAACCAAAGATCTTGGGAAACTTGAAAAACTAGTTGTGAAAAACTGCGAGGGATTGATGGCGATTGTTGCAGAGAATAATGCAGATCCGAGAGGAACATTCCCATTTGTGAAATCATTGACGCTATGGGATTTGCCAAAGTTCAAGTATGGTGGTATATGTTGCATACACGATGCAAAAATAACATTTGAGGTTTGACCTTTATAATCATTATTATAGCCCATTACAAACAATTTTACGCATAACATTGTACTTGCACAATGTGATTTTCATTGTTCTAATATTATTTTAAAAATTTCTTCTTTTAAATTGACTTGATATTAAAATAGTTATTTTGTAATTAATGGTCGAACATGTTTTAACATTAAACGACATTAATTAAATTCTATTTAAAAGGATTGATCTATGATAACTTTTTTACATAAAAATTATCATGTAATAATATATTTTATAATGATACAATATTTTCGCCTCTCCCACGTTCCATGTCATGGTTAATGGTGAAGGAGTTGGACCCATCTCACCGAAGCGAGGACTACGCCAAGGTGACCCCCTCTCACCCTATCTTTTTATTTTATGTGCTGAAGGGCTCTCTTCCTTATTAAGAAAAGCAGAAGCTAGAGGGGAACTCCACGAGGCTACAATTTGTCGAGGCGCACCGCAAGTCTCACATTTGCTATTCGCGGATGACTGTTTCCTTTTCTGCAAAGCCACTGAACTCGAGTGCACCACTCTTCGCACCATTCTTCAACAATACGAGAGTGCATCAGGACAAGCCATCAACTTGAAAAAGTCATAGATTTACTACAGCAAAAATACTACTACACGAACGCGCACGTCCATCAACGCTATTCTGGGGGTTCACAAATGCATTGGCACTGGAAAATATTTAGGCCTCCCATCCATGGTGGGCAGAAACAAAAGGGCAGTGTTTTCCTACGTCAAAGATCGCATATGGAAGAAGATCAACCACTGGACAGGCAAACATCTCTCAAAGGCTAGCCGCGAGACCCTTATCAAGGCAGTGGCACAAGCAATCCCCAGCTATTGCATGAGTACCTTCCTTCTACCAACCAGCCTCGAAGATGAAATTCAAAGAATGTTGAACTCCTTCTGGTGGGGCTCCAACCACCATACAGGGCGAGGAATCAAATGGTTAAGCTGGGACAAACTCACTATGAGGAAAGAGTACGACGGTATGGGCTTCCGTCACCTCCATGGTTTTAACTTGGCTATGCTTGGGAAGCAAGGGTGGAATCTACAGTCCAACCCAGATGCTCTATTTACACGGATCTTCAAAGCTAGATACTTCCCTCAAGGGGATTTCTTGGGTGCCCGCCTGGGCCACAACCCAAGTTTTATTTGGAGAAGCATCCACGCTTCACAGGTTCTAGTCAGAAGCAATACTACCCTTCAATTTACTTCCTTTCTTCACTAAATTGCAAACATTGACAGTTCAAAATTGTAGTTATGTAAAAACCATATTTGATGTGAAATGTATAGCACAAGACAAAAAAATCACAACTACAAGACCAACCCCTTCACCCCTCATTTTCCCCCTCAAGAGAATGACTTTATCAGATTTGCCAAATCTGGAAAATGTTTGGAATGAAGATCCTCGTAGAATTCTAAGGATGGAACTTCTAGAAGACGTAAATGTTGAGAAATGTGAAAGCCTTACAAGTGTTTTTCCCGTTTCAGTAACCAAAGATCTTGGGAAACTTGAAAAACTAGTTGTGAAAAACTGCGAGGGATTGATGGCGATTGTTGCAGAGAATAATGCAGATCCGAGAGGAACATTCCCATTTGTGAAATCATTGACGCTATGGGATTTGCCAAAGTTCAAGTATGGTGGTATATGTTGCATACACGATGCAAAAATAACATTTGAGGTTTGACCTTTATAATCATTATTATAGCCCATTACAAACAATTTTACGCATAACATTGTACTTGCACAATGTGATTTTCATTGTTCTAATATTATTTTAAAAATTTCTTCTTTTAAATTGACTTGATATTAAAATAGTTATTTTGTAATTAATGGTCGAACATGTTTTAACATTAAACGACATTAATTAAATTCTATTTAAAAGGATTGATCTATGATAACTTTTTTACATAAAAATTATCATGTAATAATATATTTTATAATGATACAATATTTTTTATTAAAAATTATTTTTATCTATATTATAAATATAATATATATTATGTGTTATTATATATTAATTATAGTAACACATAATATATGTTCTTGAATCTTATTTAAAATTAACACTAAAATTATGTGCATAAATAAATGTCTAATATATATTTATATATATATATATATATATAATATTTATATATATATATATATATATATAGTATTTATAGTAACATTTTATTTATGTTATTATATATAATATTTTTTATACTGTCCTAACATGCTTTTACTTGGTTATTGGTTTCTTTTGACAGCTTACACCCAACTTACAGGATCTGACAATCGGGGAAAATGAACTGAAGATGATTTGGCGTGGAGAATTTCATGGAAACCACATATACAATTTAAAATGTCTTACATTATGCTTTCCTATTAAGTCCAATGTATTTCCAAATGGATTTCTACAACAGGTTCCCAACATAGAGGAGCTTGGGGTTCGTAATGGTTCCTTCAAGGAGATTTTCTGCATTCATAGTCCTAACAATGTGGATGATATTGGACACTCTTCAAAGCTGAAAGTATTACGTTTGTGGTCTCTTCGTAATCTTGTTTCCATTTGGTCACAGAACTCTTGGATTGAGCCCTTTCTTGGAAATCTAGAAACATTGGAAGTACGCAGCTGTTTTAGTCTATTAAACTTGGTACCATGCACAATGTCTTTCTCCAATCTGACTATTTTGAAAGTTTTCAATTGCAAGGGCTTGTTATATTTGTTTACTTCCTCAACGGCCAAAAGTTTGACTCAACTCAAAAGAATGGAGATACAATATTGTGAATCAATTCAAGATATAGTGTCTATGGAAGGGGATAAATCACATGAGGATCAAATAATATTTCAGCAGCTTAATTGTTTAAAGCTTGAACGTTTACCAGCCCTCACAAGCTTTTACGGAGGGAGTTTAAGTTTCCCATCCTTGGAGGAATTGTCAGTAATCTATTGTGACAAAATGGAAACTTTATGTTCGGGTGTTGTAAAAGCAGACAAGTTGTTACAAGTTAAACTTAATTACTCAGATGCTATCCCATTGGAAAATGATCTCAACTTTACCCTACAGGAGGCATTTTTGAAAAAGGTATGTGTATAGTTGTTTTTTGGTTTAATTTTATTTTTAGTAATCAAAATTTGGAATACATATTTTTATTCTTTCAAATTTAAAATGTATTTGTAATTTTTAAAATATAAAAAATTATTATTTTAATCCTTCAAACTTAAAAATTATCTTTTTAGTTCCTATAATTTTTCTAATATCATAACTGATAATGATAAAATAAGAGAAATTAAAATAATATTAAATATTTTAGAAATTAAAAATACAAATACTAAATTTAAAAGATTAAAATAATATATTTTTTTTAAAAAAAAATATAGAGACTAAATTAAAAAAAAAAACATTAAATTTAAAAATAAAAAAATTGTATATTCTAAATATGAAAAATTAAAAACATATTTAAGTATAAATTTTTCTGATTATTATAATATACAGCATTGGTCAGTCAATCTTTTGGATGGATGAAAAGTTCATTTTGTTTATTTTATTAGCAGTCATTGCGTATATAATCATTTGATACATAATGGTAGTTGATAAATCCTTACGTATATGCGTATTTTGAATAAATTATTTGAAGTTTGAGTTAGATGAGAGGCTTCCTCTTCTTCAGTAAGATGCTACCATCTTTCTTTACTACACAGAGTATGTTCTTTCATTCCAAGTTGCACATTCAACGTGCAAGATATAAAACAAACAAGGCCTCAAGTGCAGCATCTTGACTGCCACGCAAGGCACTTGAGGTGGACGTCGTTTGGTTAGAAGGCAATTGCATTTGCAATTGAATAAAACAAAGATTTGTCTACCTAGCTTATCGGTGAGAGTACTTATAGACACTCTTGAAGCTGATGAGGAAAGACTAAAAAAACATAGTAAAGATTGGAAATTTCTTCCAATCAAAACTCAAATTACAATATCTAAATACAGAATGTAGAGGAAATATAAATAGTAGAGAATTTTCTAGAAATAATTTTTTTTAAGAAATGTTTCTAAGAGCAATCAAAATAAATATTCGTCATATATATGACATATGTAAAAAGACAAGTAACATGGAGATTGTTATATCAATGCTATAAGGAGAAAAGTTTGCCTAATACCTTTTCGTCCGAAGCATTTTATACTAAAGTAAAAAAAATGATGTCCAACTAAGGTTGTGTAAGAAAAAACTCTTATTGAAGTTTATATTGGGAAAAAAATCACTAGGTAAACATCTAACAGTATTTAGTCTATCTAGTACATACATGTTTTGAATGAAAAAAGACATAAGCTAGAAGGCAAGACTATACGAAGAATATTCTTAGGATATAACACAATCAAAAAGGCTACTGAGTCCTCAACTAGCAAATGAAGAAACTTGCCAAGTTCACTAAAGAGAGGAAACTAAACAAATTCATTTCAAGTACTACATAACATAAAAGAAACTAAGGCATTGCCAAGAAATGAAGTTTGAGTAATTGACAATGCTTAGAATTTTAAAATTTATATCAAGGAGGAGTGTTGAAGTTAATACAAATTTCTAAAAGTTTATAAAGCCTATCACATAAAAGAGCACCTTATAAATTGTTTTGTGTGTACAAATTAACATGATTCCTCTAGATAATATTATAAGAGTAATGCTACATATGCATGTACAACAACCTATACAACATCAATTTTTGGTCTATCTATCTCTATTGTTTATTATGGAGAGAGATATTATGGATCGCAAATGCACTCACACATACAATGTTGTAGGGGGTCGCAAACGCACTCACATGCACAATCACAAGAGGGAAAGTAAATTCACAAGTCATAGAGATTTATGTGGTTCGATCAAAATAACCTACGTCCACGACCTCACTAGATGGTATTTTTGTATTCCTTAATTAGGTTTAGGGTTTAGGGTTTGAACAATCTCTCAAATCTACATCAGAATATCCTTCCAAAACAATATCATTCTTACTAAAACATAATGCAATCTTAGAAGTACTTTTCAAGTAGCATAGCAACCACTTGACAGCTTCCCAATGTTTCCTTCCTAGATTAGACATGAATCTACTAACAACTCCCACTGCATGAGCAATGTCTGGTCTAGTGCATACCATTGTATACATTAAGCTACCAATTGTATATGCATAAGGAACCTTAGCCATTGTTGCCTTGTCTTCATCTGTCTTAGGTGAATGCTCCTTTGTGAGATTGAAGTAAACCCCCAAAGGTGTACTTGGATCTTGGCATCCTACGTGCTGAATTTCTTTAGCGATTTCTCAATATACTTCTCTTTAGATAATATTAAGGAACCTTAAGATATTTTCCTACTAATGTTCATGTCCAAAGTCTGCTTTGTAGCACCCAAATCGTTCATTTCAAACTCTTCAGATAATTGTGCCTTCAATATATTAATTTCATCCATATTAAATCCTACAACTAACATGTCATCAACATATAATAGTAATATGATATAGGATGGACCAAAATTTTTCAAATAACAACACTGATTCATGGCCCATTTCTTGTACCTTTTCTTACTCATAAAACTATCAAACTTCAGGTACCACTGTCTTGGTGTTTGCTTCAGCCCATACAAACTCTTGGTCAACTTACAAACCAAATTGTCCTTCCTTACTATCTGGAAACCCTCTGGTTGCACATGTAGATGTTCTCATCAAGATCACCATGTAAGAATGTTGTCTTAACATCTAGCTACTCTAGATATAGATCCTGTACAAACATAATGCTCAACACGAGTCTAATTGTAGTCATTTTAACTACAGGAGAGAAAATCTCATTATAGTCAATACCTGTTTTCTACTAAAATCCTTTTACCACTAACCTTGCCTTGTGTCTCTTGTTGACATCATGTTCTTCCTTGACCCTGAACACCCACTTGTTCTGCAATGCCCTATTTCCTATTGGTAGGTCAATCAAACACCAAGTTTTATTCATCTCAAGTGAGTTCATCTCCTCTTGCATGGCTAATTCCCATTGGGCTACATCATCCATTTGCAATGCCTCATGATAACACAAAGGTTCTCCATCGTCAGTCAACAACAAGAAATTTGTTGAAGGAGAAAATCTAAGAGGAGGCCTAATAACTCTACTAGATCTCCTCACTTCAATTACTGGAGTGATTGGAGTGGTCTCCTCAATTGTCCTGTTTCCTGAGCTTTCAGCTTTTCTTGCAAGGTCTTTTTCTGTAATGTCATCTAACATTGCCTCTTGCTTCTCTATTGGTCTCTTTTCTTTTTTAGCATTTGTCTCAAGTTTGTCCTTGTACATTGCATTTTCATTCAAAGTAATATCTCTGCTTCTAATGATCTTTCTATTTTGATCATCCTAGAAGAGATATCCCATATCATTTGCTCCATAGCCAATAAAAGTTCACTTTCTTGCTTTTGGGTTAAGCTTGTCCCTGTTAGCATCTCTAACATGAACATAAGAAACACAACCAAATACTTTTAAATGAGAAAGACTTACATCCTTGCTTTTCCATTCCTCCTCGGGAATCTTGAACCCTATGGGAACTGAGGGTCTTCATTTAGTGAGGTATGATGCTATGCTCATTGCATCTTCCCAGAATGTCTTCGGTAACCCTGCATAAGTTCTCATACTCTTTGCCCTCTCATTCAAGGTCATGTTCATTCTTTCAACAACATCATTCTGCTAAGGTGTCTTAGGAATAGTTTTAAGCATTCTAATTCCATTCTCAGAATAATAATTAACAAATTTAGTACTACTATATTCACCACCATTATGAGACTTTAAACATTTAATTTTTAATCCTGTCTCATTCTCAACAACAACTTTCCACTTCTTAAAAGTATTAAATACTTTAGATTTTTTGCTTCAAAAAATAAACTCATACCTTCTGGTGAAATCATTAGTGAAGGTGACATAATATCATGATCCTCCCAATGATTAGACTAATATTGGTCCGTACACATCTGTATGAACAAGCTCCAACTTCTCAATCTTGGGCATCCTCCCTAACTTGGCAAAAGTAACTCTCTTCTACTTTTCAAATACTCATGGTTCATAGAAACCAACTTCTACCTCTTTTAATTTTTGAATCTTCCACTTTGAGACTAGTATCTTCATGCTTTTCTCGCTCATATGACTAAGTATTTCGTGCCATAGAGTCGAAGAGTGACCAACATCATCACTGACTGAATTTATTTCTTTTGTAAGTAATTCTACCATGTAACGGGTTCCTTTCTTCTAGCCACAAGCAACAACTAGATTACCCTTCACCACTTTTCATTGACCATTTTCGAATATAACTCGATATCCCTAAACATCCAGCATACCCACAAAGATTAACATTCTCTTGAGTCCTGGAATATATCTAACATCCTTCAATGTCCATATTGTATCAGTAGAAGTTCTACGATTTATATCTCCCATGCCTACAATGTCTAAAGCTTTATCATCTACTAGAAGAACTTTGCCAAAATTCTCAGTTCTGAAATTTTTCATCAAGTCCTTGCAAGGAGAAGCATGTAAAGATGCACCAGAATCCATGATCCAGGATTCAAACTTACTCTCAACACAATAGATCAATGCATCATCAATATCTTCTCGTGCTACATTCATTGTTTTATCATGCCTCTTTTCTTTAGGAGCAACAAGAGTAGTACACTAGTTTCTAAAGTGGTCATTCTATTGATAATTGCAACAAGTAATATCCTTGCGTGGTTTGAATTGTCCTCGCTTCTTGGACTTTGATCTATCACGCCTAGAACCTTGCCCCCTTTCAAGCCTTCTGCCTCTACCTTCTATTCTTAATAAGGAACTTGCTAATTCTCTAGCATTTCTCCTACGAACATCCTCACCAAAGATTAAATCCTTAATTCCTTTGAAGTTCAATTTCATAGTCCCAAATGTACTAGCGACTATTGTGACAGTTCCTAACCAACTATCAGGCAGAGAAGATAGTAACAATAGGACTTTTACTTCATCATCAAATTTAATATCCATTGATATTAATCTCGACAGTAAGGAATTAAATTCGTTCACATGATCTGTAACACTAGCACCTTCTCGCATCTTCGTATTAACTAGTTGACGAATCAGAAATGCCTTGTTTGATGATGATGGCTTCTCATACATGTTTGATAACGCCTTTATCGAACCATATGTTGTCTTCTTATTGACGATGTTGTAGGCGACATTCTTCGCCAATGCCAATCTAACGATACTTAGAGCCTGTCGATCTAGCAACTCGCAATCTGCTTGATACTAGGCATGACAATCTAACCTGCCCCTGTGGGTACCCACCCAAACCTGCCCCGATTTGGACGGGGAAAATCCGTGTTTATCGGGTTCGAGTTTTTCCCAATTGATAAAATCAGGGGCAGGGGCGGGAGTGGGGACGAGGATGTTAATAGCCGCCTCGCCCTCGCCCCCACCCCCACCCCGCTTAATAATATAATTAAAAAATTATTTATATATATATAAACCAAAATTAAAAATATTTATATATAAAAATTTGTATTATTTTACTTTTTTTTATTTTTTAAATTTTTTCATATTTATTTAAAAGAAAATAAAAAATAAAATAAAAAAAGATAGGAGCAGGGGCGGGGGCAGGGCGGGGAAACTCAAACCCCGCTAGGGACGGGGATGGGTACCCAGATTTTACCCCTAACGGGTATCGAGGGCAGTTTAAATCTGCGGGGGCAGAGAATGTAAAACTCGCCCCCATCCTACCTCGTTACAATGCCTACTTGAGACATTGTTTCTGGTTTATTCTCAAACAGAGGTTGGTACAACTTCTTCTAGTACAGATAATCTTCAATCTACATCTTCTAAAATTTGAAATTTCTCCCATCAACCCTAGCAATCTTCACTTTCCTTTCTTCTGTCATGCTCACACTTGCATGAAACCCTAGGCTCTGATACCAATTGTTAGGGATCGCAAATGCACTCACACGCATAATGTTGTAGGGGGTCACAAACGCACTGACATGCACAATTACAAGAAGGGAAGTAAATTCACGAGACTTAAAGATTTACGTGGTTCGGTCAGAATAACCTGTCCACGGCCTCACTAGATGGTATTTTTGTATTTCTTAATTAGGTTTACAATCACATGAGTATTTACAGAAAAGAAAGAAAGAAAATGGGCCAAGCCCAATAAACCCTTCAGACTCCACATACTCAACAAGAGATATTGTTAATCATAGAGAGATAGATACAAAGTGGCGTTATACAACTTTTTTATTTAGTGGGAAAAGAAACAAATAAAGTACAATGCTATATGGCATGAAAATAGTCTCCCTTCTAAATCATTGGCTAACAAATGCGTACAGTTGAGGCTAGGAACATCAAAAATAACAAATAGATATTTTTGGCCATTTCCAACATTAGCTAGACCATTATCACATCCATTAGCTTCTCTAAAAAGATGTGAAAGCTTAATGGTCCAAACATTTAGGGAAAAAGAACGATTAATATCGTCAATAAGAGGCTACAACTAATTAATTGATTTCCACGATTTACTATTAACCAACTAAATAACTAGAAGATAATCAATCTCAAAATAGAAATTTGTGAGATTAAGCTCCATATAGCTAACTTGATAATGTTATGGAGAGCCCATAATTCAACCAAAATATCATTGTAGGAGCCATGGTTAGCAAGGAAACCCTTGATAAATCTTCCCTTAAAATCCTTGACCAAACATCCACAAGTAGTTGAGGAAACAAATTTGTGAAATAACTCGTTGATATTCACCTTGGAAACATGTGGGGGATTCCAATGAATGTGGACTTCCTCTCTGTAACAACCTAAACACACCAAAATGAGAGAGATTTGTACAAAATGTGAGATTGTACAATTAAGAATGAATTAAAAAATTAATTTATATTACCTATACCAACAAGATGCATTTACTTTTTGGTAGCTCATCACTTAAGAACTTCATAGTTAATTGTGTTTGGCTCAGAACAATTTAGGGATGAGTGACCTTTTGAGAAGTTTCCTAGAAATTGTGTGAGTGAGGACAAAGCATGTTAAAAAGTCTTGTGTTGTTTGTAAGGTCAATCGTTGATCCTAAAAGTGGATGGACATTTGAAAAAAAGGCTACCCATTGAGGGTTTTGGTCAATGAAGGTTTTTGACTAATGAGAAATTGTGTGAATTGTCACCATGTGAAGTTTAGTAGAGTGGAGCCATTGAGACATCAAATTTGAGGGGTATTGCAAATGGTATCAAAGAATGTCCTCCTTAGTATGGCATGGTTCAAGGATGAACCAATCAGAAGCTAGTAGGCTTATAACAAGCCTAACAATTTAGAATGAGAGGGATCCAAAGATTTAAAAAATGTAAGATTATACAGTTAAAAATGACTTAAAATAATTAATTTGTACAACCTATACCAATATGATGCATATAGGATAAAGTACAATGAAAAATCTTGTGTTAATTTGTGAGGTTAGTTGATGATCCTAATAGCAGATTAACATTTGAAGAAGGACTATCCACAAAGGGTTTTGTCCGATGAGGTCTTTGATTGATGAGGAGTTGTGCAAAGTGTCACCGTGTGAAATATCGTGAAATGAAGCCACTAAGACATCAAATCTAAGGGGTTACATTCTTTCTCGTTCTAAGACAAGGGTGATTCTAAAAGTCCCCTTGGTGATCATGATAGATTTAGCCATCACCTTATGCATTTGCTTCATCATGGATATATTAGAAGTAATAAAAATCCTACAGTTTCTTTTCCCCCTAAAGATGATAAACAACCACTCCAAACAGACAATTTCATCTATTACTCAAAGAAAGCTCCTTTTCATTGTTGATGTTAGAACTCAACCATGCATGTTAGTTGTCTATGTTTTATCTTGTACAGATGGACAAAAGAAAATTAAATTGAAATGGTGGTGAACTGATTTGAACTACATTATAAAACTTGAACTGTTTGAAAAAAAAAATGAACTGAATTATTTTTTTTAAATTGAACTAAACTGAATTGTTTTGAAAATTGAATTATTTATACGAAAGGTCATAATAGAATTTTAGACAAGTGTTTCAAGATCAATACTAGAACTTAGATTTTTTTAACTCAATAAAATTACAAACTTGGATGCTATGGAAATTTTTTTTCTAACTGAATCCTCATTAACACTAGAAAGTAGTTAATTTATTTTTTATTTATTCTTTTGCATGTGTAGATTCCAGAGGTTGCACAAAGTGTGTCAAATCTTACACTCAAAGATAGCCCACTACAAAAGATATGGCAACGCTCACTACCAATACCAGACTTGTGCTTCATTAACTTGGGTTCCTTAATTGTAGATGGTTGTCAATTTTTATCAGATGTTCTACCATTTGATTTACTTCCTTTCTTAATAAACTTGGAAATATTGGAAGTTCGAAATTGTGATTCTGTGAAAACCATATTTGATGTGAAATGTACAACACATGATAGAAAAATGACAATTACGGGACCAACCCACTTCTTGCTCATTCTTCCTCTTAAGAAATTGACTTTATCAGAGCTACCAAATTTGGAGAATGTTTGGAATGAAGATCCTCATGGAACTCTAAAGATGCAACATCTACAACAAGTATACATTGATAACTGTAAATGCCTTACGAGTGTGTTTCCGGCATCCGTAGCCAAAGATCTTGGGAAACTTGAAGATCTAGTTATGCAACATTGTGATGATTTGATAAAAATTGTTACAGAGGATATTCCATATTCAAGAGGAACAAATTTAGAGCCTACTTTCTATTGTATGACATCCTTGACATTATGTGATTTGCCCAAGTTCGAGTATCTAGACTGCATTAACAAGGTATCATTGCTTAACAACTTTGTCCTTATTACAATGTTTAAGCTGTTACCTACAAAATAAGCTTAATTGATTTACTATTTCTATATGAATTGAATTGGCATCATTACTTTCTTTGCTACTTTATCATTGCTCACAATAAATGGTACATGTTGTTCAAATTGAAATGCTATGAAAAATTTGAGTCAAATAATACATTTACTCTATAAAATTGACCATGATGTATTTATAACGTAATATTTTTCATTCATGATACAACAATATTTAAGCTTTATTCTCAATAGTACAACCAATTATACACATTCTTACTCATGCAGGATGTCGTACTTCATCACTTATTCATCATATATATTATGTATTAATAGTGATCAAATCTCTACGAGCAATTTCCTACCAACCATCTAAAAGATTCTTTTTCCTATAGGAAAAAACCTTCCTAATAATCTCATTTATCACCTTTTTCCATTATAAAATATTAAACATTAAATAATTTAGTTTAGACATATTGTATCAAAATCATTTCTTCCTTATTAATGTCTAGCCTAATTAATCTTTTTTATTTATTTTTTGGTTTTCAAATAATATTTTTCTTTTAATTTGATTTTTCCCACCTATTTAAGTGAATTAGTTAATTTGTCATTAAATATCAAACTTCTTTTAGTATGCAAGTTCATTATTTCAATTTTATATAAAGGAACTAGGATTTATGCCCTAACATGGTTTTGCTTGCTTATTGGTTTTCTTGATAGCTTACACCCAACTTACAACACTTGACACTCGATGAAAAAGAAATGAAGATGATTTGGCATAGAGAATTTCATGGAAATAACTTATTCAACTTAAAAGTTCTTACCATGTCTTTTCATATTGGGTCCATTGTATTTCCATGTGGATTTCTACAACATGTTCCTAATATGGAAAATCTTGTGGTGTGTTTTGGTTCTTTCAAGGAGATTTTTTGCCTTCAAAGTCCTAATGTGGATGATGCTGGACTCTTGTCTCAGTTGAAAGTATTAATCTTGGAGTCCCTTCCAGAACTCATTTCCATAGGATTAGAGAACACTTGGGTTGTACCCGTTCTTGGAAATCTAGAATCCTTGGATGTAAGTAGTTGTTCTTGTTTGACAAACTTGGCACCATCACCTATATGTTTTTCCAATCTGATGTCTTTGTTTGTATTTGAGTGTCATGGATTGGAAAACTTGTTCACATCCTCAACAGCCAAAAGTTTGGCTCGACTCAAAATAATGGAGATAAAAAGTTGTGAATCAATTAAAGAGGTGGTGTCTAAAGAAGAAGATGAATCACATGAAGATGAGATAATATTTTGGCAGCTCCTTTATTTGAATATTGAATCTTTACCAAACCTCATAAACTTCTACAAAGGGAGCTTGAGTTTCCCATCCTTGGTTCTATTGTCCATATTTGAATGCCACAATATGAAAACTTTATGCTTGGGAACCATAAATGCAGACAAGTTGCTTGGAGTTAAATTTGAAAAGAACGCAGATGTTGTCTCATTGGAAATTGATCTCAACTATACCACTCGGAAGGCATTTTTGGCAATGGTATGTGTTCATTCTTTTCATTTGTTTTTCTTCTTCTTATTCTTGTTGTTAGTATTATTATTATGCACTTATCAATTAGTCAATCTTTTTTAATGGAAATAAGAAAGTGCATTATATTTTTTAGCAATCATCACATATGTATACAACTTTTTGATAAGAAGGGTTCATTCACAATAAGAATTTTAGGGTATATCTGTGGAGAGGGGTAATGATTAAAATTCTGGGACTAAACATCAAACTTCTTTAGATGTGTGATAAACTTTTGGCAAGTGTAACATATAATTATGTGTCTAATTTCATCACTATTTGTTTCAAAGATGGATTTGAAATTAATTATAAGTTTAAATGACATATATTTATAGTTTTTTTTTTCTATACATGTTTTACTAATAGGTCTAAAATTCAAGAGTATAGATTTCATATACTTATAGATAAATGTAACTTTCTATCATTGTACCATTTAGTGATATATTTTTATAATTATAGACATAAATTTCATATACTTACAATTTCAAATGTTTTGTTCCATTACTATATATCTTTTATAGATAGGTTTAAAATTGTGTGTGTATATACTAGAAATGTATACTCTATCACTTTACCATTTAATGATAGTTTCATTATCGTGAGTATAAATATTTCATATGCTTATAAGTATCTATTTTCATCACTATATATTCTAGTGATTAGAGATTTGAGTATAGATTCTTATAGATAATATCAAGAACAACACATGCTTTATATTAATTTATAACATCTATTAAAATTATTTGTTGAACATATGGTCAAATGTATCATCACTACCATCTATTTATTGATATTGAATGTTTGATTCATTTTTTTTCTAAAATTGTCTCTATAAATATAAAAGTATCACTATATTTTAAAGTTGTCAAAATTAATTCAAAGGTGATGATATAAAGATATCAATATCTATCATACACTCCATTTACATCTTAGTTCTTTATATCTTTTCCTATTATATAATATTACTTATTAAATTTATATACATTTTCACTTTTCTTTCTATTTCTCTCTTAGTTTTAAATAGAGTTTAGTTAGTGTTCACTAAACCTTTTACTTAACCAAAAACAAGAAGATTTCCATAAATTTACTAGTTTACAATTGATATAAAAGTTTGTCTAATCTAATCAATGATGGTTAGCATACTATATAGTTTTTACCTTTTATGAGCTTATATGGCTGTTTTGAAATGTTCTTTGTAATTAATTAATAGAGAAGAATTGATTAGACTAATTAATTATTCATGTAATGCTATAACAAATTTATAGAATTCGTTTCCATTTGGTATCCAATTCATGAATAATGAATCAAGGAAAAGCCATTGGAACATGGTGAGGCTATTATATATATATA